AATGAAAACACAAAAACTCTGGGAGCAAGTTAAGTTTAAATGTGTTACATTTAAATATTAAATATGTTGCACAAATATAATAATAATAATAATAATAATAATAATAATACGTGTTATGGCAACACTAAACTCAGATCTCCCTCCACTTTTGAGCTGACCTGGCGGTGAATTTTCAAAAGTCCCGCTCGATTTATAACAACAAACCGACCGGACCGGATGTGACTTTGAACAGGTTTGTGGCGGGCGGCCAAAAATGATAACAGGTATGAATCTGAGACAAACAATCACCATTACAAAAAACAAAAACCCTGAAGCACCAGTTTGGCAAAACAAACCTGTACGAGCAATAACGACAATGAACTGCGCCACACAGCGCAGTCAGAGCATCGCCGCAGCGTGACCCTGCTCCACTGTCACTGTGTTTAGTCGACTTACATCAGCCATTTTTCACGTTAACGGATAAAAGGAAACGTTAAAACCGTTGACTTGGTAGTTAAATAAATACGATAAGCTAGTCAAACTTACCCGCCAATTCCTATAATGCACTTCATCGTCTCGCTTCTTCCGGACAGGTCTCGTTCAAACAGTCACGAACAACTTTCACCAAGAACGAAAATCCCAAATTTTAAAAAACAAGAATTTTAAACGATCCAGAAATACTTCCAGAAATCTTCCGTTTCGCTCTCAGCGTGTTTCTCTGTAGTACTGCGAGCGGGAGGCGCGCTAATTTATATCCAGCCCGAGCTCTAAAACGTCACAGCGAACGTGGGCGTGGTGTGTTCTCGTGGTCAGGCGTGCTCGTGCTCTTTTTCCACCGCGTGCTACGTGCCGTCAGAGCCGTTCTGTGTGTGCCTTTTTAGCAGCCAATCAGCAGCGGGTAGAGCGCCCAAACCCCTCGCCGGCCAATCAGAAGCCGGTAACTTTCACCCATTTCCTTATTGTTTCCGCGCTTGCCGATGTCCATATGAGAGCCAGATGGTGAGGCGCTCGTACTATTCCATTCAGCATCTAATCCACCTGCAGAGTCAGCGGCCTGTGGAAAACTACCATTGATGGTGTCAAATGGATGCATAAAAATAACACTAATATTTTACAGTATGGTCATGTGCTCGGGTGAAAGTCAAATTAGGAGCAATAATAATAATTAGAACATCATTGAACCTAGTTAGGGGTGACAAATTAAAAGAAAAACGTGAAACAGTCAGTACAACATATGATTTTCTTTAATTTGATGTTTTGACGATAGTTGTAGAAAGCAAGTACTGTTTCATTTACCTGATTTAAGATAATAAAACCATAATTATATTAATACTAAGCCATGGCAAAATGCCCACCCTCTGAAAACTAAAGTCTGGGGTTTTGCTCCCTATAAGTATTTCAGTTTTTCCTTTATTTTATCATACTTCAGTGAAATTTTAAGGACAAAATGCTGGGACCATAGTTTGTCTGCTACTAATGTTCATTAAATTAAAAGCAGCCACAGTAGATCATCTGACTCTTTGGCATGAGGAGCAATATGCTTCTTGTTTCTGACTAATTTTCAAACTGAGGTTGTTGATAATATATCATCCCAGTGAGCATTCATGTGTGAAGTGTGTCAGATGGTAAAAATGGTAAATGGCATGTATTTGTATAGCGCTTTACTCAGGAGTGTGAGGGCAGTGTGAGCTCCATTGTGAGCCAGCGAGCAGCACCTACATTTAAAAAAAACTTAATTAGGACGAAGGAGAAGTCACAGGTTCAGCTGTGAAGTGGAGCATGCCTGATGTTTACTTTCTGCCTCAAATGTTCTTGCTAGGTTGTGTCATAAATGAGGTAAGAGACAAATGAGGGAATATTTCGAGAGAACACGTGGAGGTTCTGGTAGATGTGAATTACAGCCTCCATAAAGTGTTGTTTATGGCCTTGATCTGTTTCCCAGTACGTGTGTTTGTGTCCACGTGCACGTTGAGGCTCAACAGTCGACAGTGAACATCATAAAGGTGTGATGGGCGAGTCTTCTAGCTGTGTTGCAATTACAAGTCTTCCTAGATCCAAGAAAACGAGGAAACCTTCACATGAGTGTCTGCAGTCTTCAGCAGCTACAGGCCATCCCTGCAAGTGGGAGGGTCACACTGCAAATCCAGTGTGAGCTGGTTTGTGTAACTTTAAACTAACAATTAC